CAGCTCACCCTCTCGCCCTAGGAGCCTGGGATGGCAGCGGGGGAGCTTCCTTCCGGGTGCTGGGACCAGCTGAGCTTCACTGCCCTAGGAGCCTGGGATGGAGGCAGGGAGCTTCATTCCGGGTGCTGGGACCAGCTGAGCTTCACTGCCCTAGGAGCCTGGGATGGAGGCGGGGAGCTTCCTTCTGGGTTCTGGGAGCAGCACACCCTCTCTGCCCTAGGAGCCTGGGATGGCGGTAGGGGAGCTTCCTTCCGGGTGCTAGGACTGGCTTACCCTCTCTGCCCTAGGAGCCTGGGATGGAGGCAGGGAGCCTCCTTCCCAGTGCTGGGACTGGCTGAACTTCCAAGAGTAAGAGCTTTTGTTGCTGTTTTTATCCTGGAAACTTAGCAAAGTGCTTGACCATAACAGAATCCCTGTAAATACTTGATAAATAAATAGATAAGGATATTTGATTTTTGCTGGCCTTAAAATTACCTTGAAAAGTTAGCAAAAATGGGTCAGCCAATAAACAACCTCTTATGGTAGTCAATATTCATTCAACAAGTTATTGAGCATTTACTGTATTTCTAGAGTACAGTAAGCGCAAAGAGTATTTCTCCTTCAGGGAGCAGAAATGAGCAGGAATGCACAGGAAGCAGGTAAGCGAATAATTATATCCCTCCAAGTTGTGCTAAAATTGAGGCTCTATGGAAGGGTTTAGCAAGATCTTTTTGGTTGTTCAGCAGTTCAGAGGCAACATTTTGATTGTATGTTACTAAAGTGCTTAGCATGTCAAATAAATTTGGTGTGTAAGAAATGATCAGGCATATATCTGGGTAGAAGGAGAGTATTCCAAACAAGCACACAGCATATTTAAATGAATAAAGGGGCAGACAGGCAGGTCTGTGGATGCCATAGCAACATCACGAGTCCCACAGAATGAGCCGAATCAGCCCGTTGCAGACAGGAAGGTCTGCAGACACCTTACCAAGGTTGCGAGTCACGCGGAACAGGCCAAATCAGCCCGCCCCCGGCAGCAATCCACTGGACACCCCCCCCCTCGGCCTTTTCTCTGTACAACTACCTGGTTCCACACTACAAAGACACAGAGGACACCAGACCACCAGACCACAGTACTGGGTAAGTTGGAGTCATCT